GAAATATATAATTAATGGATATTTATCTCTCAAATCCCGTCAAATCTTAGCTTTTTAAACTGGATTCGAAACGCAATTAAAAAGGTATTTGAAATTCTATAATTGTTTGATTGTGTGGCTCCAAACAAGGCAGTCCATCTTTCCAAATCCAAATCCTATCAAATCCTGCATTCCAAACAAAGCGTAAATGGGACTTGGGATGTTTTTATTTTAAAATGGCATAAAATTATATAAATATAGTTAGCTTGGATTGGATTTATTATAATCTGAAAAAAAAATAAATAGCCTTTAAGAAATATAGTATTATTTATCTACTTAAAATCATATTTTTACAACTTGACGTTTTGTCCTTAACTGCACTTTTTTAATAATTTAAGGGTTGTTCTTAATTTAGGTTGGTTTTGTGAAATTGACTAATAGATGAGGTGAATTTTATCCATTTTACCTTTATTTTATTATATTCATGCCTTATTTTCTATTCTATTTATTTATTTAAGAATTATATCTAATTAATTTATCCTAAATTTGTTTTAGTTGGTCTGGCCGCCGGCCACTATCACAATATTATTATTATTAGGGCTGATTACGGATCGGATCAGTTCGATTTGGAGGTAAAGTTCAATCCAATCCAGTCCCCACGGATTGGTAAAATTTGAAACCAAACCGATACGTGGGGACCTTCAATCCGAACCAAACCGATCCGTGAAATAATAGATCGGATCAGTTGGGTTTCCACAGATTGAGCTTTTCAAACAGCCCAATATGATTACACTTTATGCCCATTAAAATTTCAAATTAGACATTAAAAAACCTGTAATGACTAATGACTTTGGTGACCTAGTGTTAATTAAAGTCTTAAATAATGAATAAATAATAAAATAGAAATACAGTAAGATATATAAATATATATATAATATTAATATATAGGGTAAAGTACAGAGACGCCCCTGAGGTTTGGGGTAAGGACAAACAGATGAAAGTTTTAGCTATTTTTGGGCAACCACACCCCCTCGTTAAATTTGCCATCTAAACAGAGCCTTAAAACATGTGAAAAGTCTATTTTACCCTTCACTATTTTATTAATTTTAATTATAAAATATCAAAATACTTAAATGACCAAATTACCTTTTTTTCATATATATATATATATATATATATATATATATATATATATATACACACACACACACACACACACCCGCACAACAGTCACCACCAACCCTATCTCAGACCTAAAGATGAGAGAAAACCAGGAATAAACGAATAAATAAATAAACTCTATATCATTAACTCCGACAAAGTATAGGAATTTCATATCAGGTTTAAAGCAACAGTGCAGACACGAAGAAGAGACCAGCCACAGATCCACCGACCGTCAATCTATTCAAAGCGGCACCATTGGGAGTCGATGACAAAGATCCTCCCGAAGCTGAAGAGAACGACGGAGGCATGGGGGTACCGGAGGGAGACAAAGTAGGAGCGTCGGAGGTTGGAGGACTAGGCGGAGAAGCAATCAGAAAGGTCGGGGCAGTACCGCCTGCGGCGTAGAAGACGACGAGGTTGAAAAGCTAATTTCAACATTCAAATTGGTCAATATAAAAGTGAATGGGCAAAAATGTCAATTCATTACCATTGGGGTGTCTTTGGTAACTGTATCAAACTTGAGGGGATGTCTTTGTTCCAAAATAGGCTAAGTTCCATCTGTGTCCTTTTGACAAACCTCAGGGGGTATTGTTGTACTTTACCCTTATTTATAATTAAGGTAACATCGGATCAGTTCGGTCAACGAATTGGAAATATATAGAGAAAATATATTAATATATAATAAATAATTTAGTCTTTCTAATTAGACATAGAAATGTATAAAAGATATAAATAATTTAATCCTTTTATAAAACTCAAATTACCTATTTATTATGAGTTTTTTTTTAATAAAATTAAATCTAATTAGTTAAGGAAATATATAAAGAAAATAATTAATTTAGTCTTTCTAATTAGACAAGGAAATATATAAAAAATATAAATAATTTAGTCTATTTAGTCTCCACATCTTTTCTACTTTTATAAATAATATATAAATAAATACAATATTAGTAAATTGTAATAAAAAATAGTCTTTATTTTGATATTATTTTAGTAGTTTCAAAATACATCTATCAATAATTGAATTTCTATTGTAAAGTTTAATTAAAAATTATATTTTTATCTCTTTTACCTTGTGTCAATTTTATGTTAATGTATAATTTATTATTTATAATTATTTAATTACATTTTTTAAATATTGATTTTAAATTAGATTTTACTCACATGAAATAGTATATTATTTTTAATAATAAATTTATATGTTCCATATGTAAGTTTCCCTTTAGAATAACACAAATTATTTATTTATTATGAGTTTTTATTTTAAAATTAATATAAGATGTTTAGAAGAGTTCCTATATGTTGAACCAAGAGGGGGTTGAATTGGTTAAAACATTACTTGATTTTAATTCCTCATGATAATTAAACAAGCATTCAAAGATCAGTACAAACAAGGTTTACAAGAAAACCCTCTTGACTAGGGAAAACCTTGGTTCTTGGCCTCAGCCAATATGAAGTCCACTACTAGATGTATGTATCTTATTACACACTTAGCTGTCTCACTCTCTGCACACACCCAAGTACAATAATAGACACTAGTTTTCAAAACCAATACACACACTAATTCACCACAGTGCACACAAGCACTCCCCCTGTCCTAAGCAACCTTGCTTGGACTCAATAAGCTCTTATAGCTCACCACACACACCATTACTGATGTAAATCAGTATAAACAAGTCTTTCCTACAATCAAAATAGGCTAGACAATACAAAACTCCAAGTTACTACCTCAAAACCACAATTTGCTGCAATTAGGGTTTGAGGGGTAAAATGGGAATTTCCTGTCGAGATCAATTCACCAGCTCCTTACACAGTCTTCTTTCACTGTAGTACTCATGTTCATAGCTTTAAACAATCAAACATAGCATGAGTATATAACAAAGTTGATTCACAACACTAGCTTCAGCTCAGAACAGTACACAGATAGGGTTTTCAACACTCAAGTTCAAAGTATACCATTATAAAATTCCACAGCCAACTTTAACAGCCTTGATTCATCAAAATATACTTGCTAGTACTCAAATAAGTCATTAAACAGCAAGTCTTAATCATATTGTACTCAAATCACATCATTAAACCAGAAAATAGCCTTAAGCACAGGTATTAGAGATCAAAATCACTTTCAGCATGTTTCAGTGCAAAACAGTGTACTGAGCAAGTGTAAATAACTTAGTTATACCTATGACAGCCCTTAGAAATGACCACAGCAGCTTGGAACTCAAAATCACTACTCAATCCAGCCCTTGCACCAATAAACTTGACAGCAGCATCATCTCAGCACTTTGTATACACATCTCAACATCCTCCTTGAAACTCAGCATCTTTTCAATTTCTAGGACAGCTTTGCTGCGCAGACTTTGAACAGCCATATCTCATTCATTTCTAATCCAAATTAGGTCATTCTTGAGTCAATTTTCAAGAGCTTTAAGTCAGCTTTCCAATGGTACCAACCACATATAGAAACTCCAACCGTGGTGAGAGTTATAGTAGTTTTAGTGAGACAGGGTATCTCTTAACTAGGGAAACGTCGTTTGTTCCATCTTTTCCGTTAGGGTCTAGAATCTTGACAAATGTCCATATATGATTAGTACGTCATATATTGTCCTTGTTGACACATTTTTTGGTCACTTTAACCATGTAGTTGATGTGGCATTTTGCTTCTGCGTTGTTTCTTTTCAAGTCTCGTGACTTCTCGGGAAGTCACTTCGGCATCTTAGAGGTGGTGTCCATCTCTAGAGACCCTACCCCTTTTTCTTGCTTCCTCGTTTGGAATTCGTTATCAGATTAGTTTTCGGGTTACTCGCTGACACACCGGGTCCTTTGAAATTCGGGTCGTCACATATTTACTATTAAATGACCATAATATTGTTTTCCTATTTAATTTCACTTAATCTATTTTTTTAATTAAAATAAATTATGAAGAAAAATATACTAATTACCTTTAATTTTTTATATTAATTGTTTAAATAAAAATCCTAAGTAAAAAACTTTAAAACAATTTAAGTAATTTCTTAATTTCATGAATATATTGCATGAAAAAGGAAGTATTTTTTATTTGAGTAATTCATTAATTTTTCCATTGATATATTGTATGAAAAATAAGGAATTTTTTTACGAAGTATATTTATTATAAAAATTAAAGTTGTAATAATAAATTAATAATTTTAGAAAATGGTATTTTCAAATCTTTTTTTTTTTTTTTTCTATTTTGGTATAATTAATATTTAGATAAGAGATACTAAAAAAATATAATACAAAATGATAAATTTAATGAGAAAGAGTAAAATAGTTTTTGTGACAAGTTTGTCCTTAATTACAATAAATTAATAATTCAAGGCGACGTTTGTAATTTAAATGGGTTATTTGCAAAAGAGCGAGAGCAATATAAATATATATTGACATATATATAAAGAGATGGAAGAACAATACATAAAATTTGATTTTTAGTAATTAAATATCACTACAAGGGTAATAAAGCCATTTGGTATGATTGTACAGGGTATCATACTCACATCATGTTCATTTGCTATTGATCCACATCAGAACATCAGATAGCTTACATGGTCCGACCAGGGTGAGAACCCAAGTATCATCCAACCAAAATATGCAGCACTAAAACAGTTAAGGAATTAGATAATAAAAAATAAATAAAGGGCGGAGGTGGCATAGCAAACATGACTTTTAAAAATGTGGGGAAAACTGTTCTATCAATTCTACAATGGGCTTGTATTCCAACCAAACATAGAAGAGACTAGATCAAATGTAGTCGACAAATAAACTACATAACATCGACTACTGTTCTATCAATTCTACAATGGGCTTGTATTCCAACCAAATATAGAAGAGACTAGATCAAATGTAGTCAACAAATAAACTATATAACATCGACTTCAAATTTCTATACGACAAAAAGATCAATCATCTGTTTAAACCCAAAATCAACATCCAAAAACTGGTGATTGATTTGGGGACTGATAATTTACCATATAACCGAATAACCACGTGGTTGGAAGAATAATCTTCCCAATAACACACAATATACAAGAAGAAGATCAATCATCTGTTTAAACCCAAAATCAACATCCAAAAACTAATTCTGTTTAAACCCAAAACCAACATCCAAAAACTGGTGATTGATTTGGGGACTGATAATTTACCAGATAACCAAATAACCACATGTGGTTGGAAGAATAATCTTCCCAATAACACAATCTTTAAAAGAGACCAGCTTTTTTTAAGGCAGCCTCAAAATCCTCCTCGCTGTTCCAGGACCGGACCTGCGTTACATAGCAGCAACATAAGGTGGTGATATAACTATATCAAAGTTTCTCGTACCCATCTTACAACTACTACATTTATACTTGTATTATTACAAGAAAAGTATAGGAACATGCAACTTAAAATCTTACTACAGCTACTCTTACAACTAGTTTCGGATTCCAAAGTATTCCATAATCCTTCCCCACATTATTTTAAGTCATAAAAGGAGTCTCACCTCGTCCACTTGGGTGTTAAAGTGCTTCTCTATCTTCTCCATTAGCATAATATCTCTATCAAAGCACAACAAGTTGAATACGGCTGCTGTAGAATTAAATACAAAACAGGAAACAAATACTGCTTCATATTCCATTAGAGGCTTTGACAATATCTCTACCAACAATGAAGCAAATGCACAATGGAGAGTTGGCACTTCATTCTGAGACGAAAAAAATGGCTTCAAATCTTCTAATATTACATTATAGTATTATACTTGAACAAGGAGAGCATAAAAAATAAACAAGCCACCAACAACTAGCTGGAGTTTATAAATGTTTAAACCAGAACCATTTTTTTTTTGTAAGACCTCATTTCATATACAAGCCTACAAAATCCAACCTACAAGGTTGGCGTCACCCTGTGAGGCTTTGACAGTTAGCTAGAAGCAGATTTATGACTCCAGGAAGCCTAGGTACAGAAAAATCCTAACCAACACGATACTTAATCAATATGAAGTTCTTCCTTAATTCCACGCAATGTTTTGGTTAGGCCAGGCTGATCACGTTGAATGTCCACAAAAGAGGGAACTCACATAACTAAAGATACTCCCAAAGTTCTGCATTGCATGCAGGAAAACAAAAATACAGCTGAAGTTCTTTAGGCAAGACTGAGCAAAATCATAGGTTAGTATAATTTCAGCATTCCAAATCCAGGATCTGACTGTCAAACAAATTATTCAAGACCTGGACTTCCCAGAAGTTAAAAAAACACAACACGTGATGTTTATCCCCAGCCCAATAAAAAAATAAATAAATAAATAAATAAAAAATGACATTGACAACCACAGCCCAGAAAGTTTATTTTGAAGAATCCCAATCACAGCTGCAGTTTCAAACACCTTAAAAATTAGCAACTGAACAATATTTAACAGTGATCACCATAGTAAGTAAAATACAGTATGGGGAAAATACGGGTACGGAAATGTACGAGTATAATTCGATATTTTTTTTTTAAATACGTTTAAAAAATTCGTTTAAACAAAAGGGAAACGTAAAAATACGAATACTGATGCATATGTATATAATATGTTATATGCACTAAAAATTCGGGACCAAAAATTCAACTATATACATCTTATTATTTTCTTATATATCATATATTTGTAAGGACAATGAATAATAGGTAACAATAATAAAATAAATATATTACAATTAACACTATCACAATAATCATAACAGAAATAAACTATCTAAATATAATTAATCAATAACCATTGGTCCATAATATGATCAATTCATCACAAAATTAATGAAAAAAAATTCTAATTCAATTAATCAACTGTGTCGCCTAAATTAAAAATAAAATGCAGCTGCTTGAACCTCTTAGGGTACTCTTGAACAAATTTCAAAATCTCTACCTTTTACCCCGGATAAATGTGATTTGACTATTGAAACACCTCCATGATAGTTAGAGTTTTGTTCAAAATGAGTCAACAGTATTTGCACGAGTGAACAGTCCGATGAAAAAAAAAAAAAGATACCCCCAAGTCGAGAGACTTTACCCTTGCGGCCGAAACGTCCAGCCCTGCCAATCCGATGCAAGTATACCTCATAGTCAGGCTCCGATGGAGTTTCGTAATTCACAGGAAGATCATAATTGACAACCAGATTAACCTGAAATAAAACATGTTATGAAGTCGATATTTTGTGCACTAAAAAGAAAAATAAAAAATAGGTAAAAAGAGATAAAAGTGAGCACCTCTGCTTGATCAAAACCCCGGGCGAGGAGGTCAGTTGAAATAAGAACTTGAATCAATCCATTTTTAAATTCCTTGATTATCTTGTCCCTGTCATCTTGCATAAGAGCACCTTGAATGGTAGTCACCTCATAGCGATGTTCCACAAGTGCTTGATGCAACATGCTCGCACTATTTCTTGTGCGAACAAAAATAATGCTCTGCCCCACCTTATTTCCCAATTCAAAAATTCTGTCTTTAATTACCTTTTATCTTTGAAAGTTCATCAGGGCAGTTTACCTTGTACCACTCCTTCACAGACTCCGAGGACAGCTCTTCTTTGTTCACAAACATTTGATTGTAATCATTCTTGAAGAGATCTTTAACAATTTTTGATACAAAATTCCTGACAGCATCATCAAAATAGGGTTCGATCGATCATTTGAATAGGACAAAATAGGACAACTGTGGATAAGATCAATCATTTGAATAGGACAAAATAGGGTTCGATCGATCGAAGGTGATGTTCGATCGATCGAACTTGGAATTTCAGCAAAGGCCAAGGTTGGATCTATCGAGAAGTACTGTGATCGATCATAGATGTTCGATCGATCGAACTCTAAGTTGGATCGATTGAACTTTTCAGCTGCACAACTTGATTCCTTTTTGCTCCTTTCTTTCTCCACTTTGCTCCCTCCTTTGGTTTATCTCAGGATTGCTTCAATTAAGCTCTTATTTGGCTGAGTTAGCTAAATTTTGGGATTAGTGCCTGAAAATATAAATAACACGTAATAAGTCTAAAACGGTAAAGTAAGATAGATAAAGGTACTAGAATGCTTAAGCTTAACGGGTTTAAATGCGCACTTTTCAGTGCTCATCACACCCCCAAACTTAAATATTGCTAGTCCCTAACAATGAACTAAGAAGTAAAGGAATGAAATAAACAACTATACAAGTATAAACTGGAAAGCAAGTAAAATGATAACACCATTTTCGTAGGGAACACGATTGCATTTAGCATATGCAACAAGTCTTTTAAACCCCTAGGTTACCCCTAGTGGACGAGTAAAGTCTCGTGAGGGTTTCCAGAAATGGTACCCACAAACATTAAGCTCATTCTTTCAAAAGATGCACCAATATTGCAAACAAGCATTGGGAGAAAACTACCTCAAGTATGCAATTTTTCAACCGTTTCTAAGCAATCTCCCAAAATTTCAATATCAAGCAAGCAAGTATGGTCCTCCACATATCAAGAAAATGATCATGAAAATCGAAACAAGTCTAGAATCCATGTGAGAGGTCCGGCATCAAGTGTGTTGCTATCTTAGCCAACTAGAGAAGTAATCACATCCTTACCCTCAAACTAGCACACAAATCTAGTACCGATCATCAAGATAAGAGAGTGGACCTTTTATTAAAACTTTATTGTTCTAGGTGCGCTTATTCTTTTCACTCATTTTCTTCTTCTTCTTTATTTTATTTTATTTTATTGAGGATCAAAGATGGAAATATTGCGCAATGTGTTGATCTCTTAAGCTTTCTAGAAGATTCATGTAGCGAGCTTTAGGTCAATGACTCCCAAACCAGATGGCTTTAGGGCATTAGGTGTTAAGACACCCTAACGGACTTACAAACTCAAATCAACTAGGCTACAAATCAAGACAATAACCATCTAATCATTTCCCACTTCTCGCCTTTTGGGAGAAGTCCTCACTTTTATTGCTTTTGCAACTTCTTCTTTTTTTTTTTTCTTTATTATTATTATTTTTTTAATCAATTATTAACCTAGAGTTTGGGCCCTCCACCTTTCAGCGCGAGAAGTTCACTGCTTAATGAGGCAAGAATGCCGGCTACTCAATGAAAAGAGGTTGTTATCCATCTTTATCAAGAATGAAAGCTTTCAATGCACTACTAGCCCAATTGGGATATAACCAATTCAATAATCAACAAAGCATGTACCCCACAATTGAATGCTAGCGTGCGCTGGTGCTAGTGTAGAATCCTAGACTGAATCTCAAAACAATCACAAAATCAGGATTATGTGGACCACAAGTGCAATCATGATATTATTTTTATTTTTATTTTTTGAAAAATTTACTCCTAAATGGCATTCAAAAGGCATACAAGGAGTATTGGACTCTCAAGTCAAGCAATTTTTAAATTTTAAGCAATATAGTCCTCAAAATATCAAAATCATAGCTAGAAATGGACCAAGTATAGAAATATCCCTCAAATACATAAGACATGCTCAAAATTTGAATTTTAAAGCAACACTGAAACATACACCAATACCCCCAAACTTAAACTGCACATTGTCCTCAATGTGTGAAGAGAATAAAGGAAAGAGTATACCAGTGCTTTAGACATGAATGATCGGGATAGAAGTATCCAAAGTGGGTGGCATGGCCCCCCCCAAACTTGGGATAAACTGTGGTCCTGAAAAGTTTGCACTCGGATAAACTCATTAGATAACAAGATAGGATAATCAGTGCACAGTGGACATGCAAGTGTAAAATGGGATAAATAGAGAATAGAGAGAGAGGTGTAAGAGTGGTCCTGAAAAATTGGGCAGCACTCTCTCACTGAAGTCACTGTGGTGTACCTGATGGAGTCAAACATACAAATATGAGATACTAAGAGACATCCATAATCAAAAAGCAATATATAGAGAATATAAAGTGCAAGTATATCAATAAAATAATAAAGCCGACAGACCAGCCGCAAAGTATAATACAGTAACAGTGACAGTATAATACAGATCCAGAATAAAAGAAATGAAAGCATAGAACAACTGGAAGTGGAGTCTCAGGAGGCCTGATCGTGAAGATCTGCAGTGGCTGGAGGTGCAGGTGCGGGTGCAGGTGCAGGGAGTCGGCTGGAGAGATCGGCAAAGCAAGCCATGACATCTGCCTTGAAAGAGGTGAACTCAGCTCGGTGGGCAGTGATGTCGGCTCGCATGGCTGCTACGTCCTCCTCCAGTGTCTGCAAGCGTGCTCCGAATCCGAGAGTGGGAACTGGAGACTCAGGCAGAGATACCTCTGAAGAAGACTCCCGAACTCGCTCCTGAGCAGCGGCTCGATCACTGGTATCATCGGCATCAGCATCATCTGTAGCATCGGCATACTCCTCCGCAGGTCGTTCCAGGTCAATGTCCATGCGATCGGCAGCCGAACCGACTGGTGCGTCGTCCGCTGCGATATCTGCTGCTGCTGGAGGTGCCAGCTATGCCTGGGCTGCCTCCTCTTCCTCTAGTTCAGTTGCTGCCTCTACAGCTGGCTCCTGAAGACTCCGAATAAGAGCATTGTAGCTCTTCTTCCAGTCGCTCCTCCCATAGAAGCTGGACCGTGCAAGGGGCTCCTCATCTGGAGGCACTCTGTAGCACTGGTCAAGAAGGATCTGCGTGATGAGGTGTCCGAAGGGCAGGACCTTGGACCGCTTAGGGTCCTCCCTGGAAATGAAAGAATCATACAGCAACCTCATCACGCTCCAGATGAGGACTGGGATAGATACCCAGCAGCCCGTGTAAAAAGCGTAAAGAGCTGTCAAGTAGTCATGACGCCTCTGGATCTTGTGGCCCGCCATGTAAATGTTCTGGAAGAGAACTGTGTCGATGAACCAGAGTTCGTCAGGCAAGAAGGTCCTGGTGGCGAATGTCTGACCACCGACATGATGTCCTGTCAAGGAGACAGCCATGTCAGAAAATGAAGGCCTATGCAGCCTCGGGTATGTCTCTGCAAGCTCAGGTGGACACCGGTGTGGGCACCGGCAAACACGTGCCAGAGTGTCAACTGTGATGACAATCTCGTGGCCGTCCACTGTAGTGATCATCTCCGCGGTAGATCGTGGCGAGGGCCGGAGATGCTGAAAGAATAGCCGCACCAGTCGCGGGTATACAAGGCCGGTGGCTGGGGCAAGGATGGCTGAGAGGCCCCGCTGCATGATATCCTGATAGCCAGACCGGGTCAGGATAGACTCGGAGAAGTACTCAGTATCGAAGTATGACTCCTGAGCCACGGTCATGGCTGCATATCTCGGCAGCAACTGGTCACGGCGCTGAGCCAGTAGAGGTGGCTGCGGTGATGGCATGGCGGCTGCATTTGCTTGATGGCGCGCAGGAGAAGGTGATGGTATGAAGGCTGGAGGAGCCTGGGATGTAGATGGCACGTGGTCAGCTCCCTCCTCAGCCTCATGGGATGGGGACTGAGGGGGAGTAGCCTGTGCGGGCTCCTCCTGAGCATGAGATGGCTCTGCAACCATCTCTATCCTGGGCCGTATATGTTTGCGGGGTCGCTGTGGCCCCGAAGATTGCCTGGCTACTGTCTTGAACCGCGGAGGCATGATCTGTAAAAAGATAAGAAAATTTCAATATATAAGTCAGTGCCAGATATATAAGAATTTAAATGCATAATAGAAACATGTATGTCAAATAAGATAGACAAAATATGGATGACATGAAACTATGACAGTGATGAAATGTGAATCATGCTAAGCAATGTAGGTATGAAATGCATCCAATGTGGAATATCACAGGCATTGTGCATATAAAGATAGCATGAAGACGACACAAGATTGGATCGATCGAAGGTAGTGAAATGAAGTTCACTACTTCGATCGATCGAAGCACAAGTTCGATCGATCGAACTGTGCGAATGCCGAATTTGAAAAGTCGCAGATCTGTGAGATCTAGAGTACGGGGCCCACATAAACATGTTTGTGGGCCCATCTACACACCATTCATACAATCAACAACACCCAAACAATCCCCAACTTCAAATCAAATCAAAAACCCCCAATTTTGGTTTGGCCGAATGCATGTGTGTATGTATAGCATGTAATCATGATATTGAAGCTTCAACAATGAATGATTCATACATATTGAACATGATTTAACATAAACAATCAATATCATGCATCAATTTAAGCTTGGAATCAAGAAAATTGCATTCGGTTTACCTCTAAACCGAGAGAGATGAGATGAGAGAGAAGGGGCAAAGCCGCGATGAAAATGGAGCTTATCCTTGGCGGAATTGGCTCGCCGGAGATGGGGAAGATGATTGGGATGGAGGTTGGCCGGATTGAGCTTAAGATTGAGAGAAAGGGAGACTTAGGGTTAGGGTTTGTTTCGAGGTTGGATCGAGCCAAGTGTATCGATCTAACTCGGTTTTATTTTAAAAACATGATATGCAGAGTTCGATCGATC